ACGGAGATGTCCCTGGCCAGCACCCTGCTGCTGGATCCTGCTGTAGGGCAGAGTGAGTGGCGAGAGGGTGGGATGGAGTGTGTGGAAGTGACAGGGAGAAGAGGTGGGGGAGAGGAGCAGCTGCCAGCAGGAAAAGGTCCATCCGTGGAGATAGGATCAGTAAGTGGGGGGGTTTAGAAGTGGGAGGGAGGATTTGGATCAGCCTTGGTGAGTCCCTGCAAAGCAGATGTCTTCTTCTCGGCAAAGCCCCRTGTCTCCTCTCCCAGCTCTCAAGGCCATGGGGTCTTCAGGTCATGAGCCCCATTCTTGGTGGAAGAGGGGCTGTGTCTCTCCTGCATGCCGGTCCTTTCCCACTGCACGACAAGGCGCGGGGCTGTCATGAGAGCTGCCACTTGCTCAGGACTGAGGAGAGAATATTCCCACTATGTCACTGGATCAAATCCCCTACACTCAGTTCAAGGTGCCCATCCTCAGGTCTCCTCACCAAATACAGGAGGAAATTTGACGCCGCCATTTACATCACCCACAAGAGCAGGACGTACTGCTCTGGAGCCCAAGCACAGAGGCAGAGCACAATCAGCCAGCACACACCGAGGTCAGAGAAGGGGGCTGAACAAGGTAAAGGAGAGAGGCCATGTGAGGTTTTCTATGAAGAAAAGCGTGAGTTTTACTCAGAGAAGCCCTGTCTAACTTGTTGATGCTTTTTCCTCATAGGACAGTGCCCCGAACCAAGAGTAAATGGCCAACGACAGCTCCCTCAACAAGTTCCTTCTAATGGCATTTGCAGACACACGGGAGCTGCAGCTCTTGCACTTCTCCMTCTTYCTGGCCATCTACCTGGCTGCTCTGCTGGGCAACGGCCTCATCATCACAGCTGTAGCCTGTAACCACCGCCTCCACACCCCCATGTACTTCTTCATCCTCAATCTCTCCCTCCTCGACCTGGGATCTATCTCCACCATTGTCCCCAAATCCATGGCTAGTTCTCTGTGGAACACCAGGGCCATTTCCTACTGGGGATGTGTTACACAGGTCTTTCTGTTTGCCTTTTTCATGTCAGCAGAGTATTCTCTTCTCACAGTTATGGCCTATGACCGTTATGTTGCCATCTGCAGACCCTTGCACTATGGCACCCTCATGGACAGCAGAGCTTGTGTCAAAATAGCAGCACTTGCCTGGGCATCTAATTTTCCCTATGCTCTTCTGCACGCTGGGAGCACATTTTCCATACCACTGTGCCAAGGCAATGTGGTTCAGCAGTTCTTCTGTGAGATCCCCCAGATCCTCAAGCTCTCCTGCTCAGRTTCCTACCTCAGGGAAGTTGAGCTTCTTGGGGTTAGTGCCTGTTTAGCCTTCGGGTGTTTC